ATTTTGTTATATGAACAGTTAAAATAGCACAGAAAAGAAGGAAGAATGCACAAAACTAGAGAAAATTAAAAACAATAACGTGTAATATATGAGAAAGTTTAAATGTTTTTTGTTAGTTTTTAAGACCTACCTCCAGCTGGTCTCACTGCCTCCGTCCACAGACTGTCCAGGTCCTCGTCTCTGCTCATCAGGTTGGGTCCGATCTCAGGTAAAATGGGCTCTGAAGGGGAGGAAACTGTGGCTCCATCACGTCTCCACACTGTCAGAGGGGTTGAAGTCTGAGGAGTGACAAACATTAAGGAAGGGATGGGACTGGAAGAGGGCAGTTTTTGGGTCCAAAGAGGGGTGTATTGATCAGAATCAGAGAAAGACAGTTTTGTCCTCCTTTCAGTGTCCATCTGGTCTCTCCCTCCTACAGGACTGAAACTCTCATCATCGATCAGTTTCTTGTTTTTCCTCTTTACATCTTCCTCCTCCTCGATGCTGTCGATCTGCTGTCCCTCCCTCCTCTGGCTCTGTGTCTCTCTACCAGCCTCACTTGGTCTAAATCTTCCATGAAGACTGTCCCCATTTTCTGTCTGCATCACTGAATCTATCCCCTCGGGTCCTCCAYGTGGACCGGTCCCCCCTCCTCCTCCACCTCCTCCTGCACCGACATTCAGCACAGAGCCAGTAACGTGTTCTTTATCCAGGAGGACAGACTCTGTGGTGTGAGCTAGCACAGCTGTTGTGACCAGGCTGGGACAGTGGCCTTCACACGAGTCGTCCTGCATGTGGTGGAAGTTCGGGAGATGGGTGGGGGCTCCAGAGAGACGGAGACAGGTCCCAGTCAGGAGGAGGAGGACCTGGAGGAGCAAGGACGTCTGCATCCCTGTCTCGTCTCAGTGCCTGTAAAAACATCAACAGATGCTATAARCATAAAGAGAAGGAGAAAGAGACATCCACAACTACAATGACCCATAGATCAGCATCCACCTGTAGCAGTGGCTCAATGATTACAGACAATCCTGAGCCTGGTTCTGCTGGAGGTCTCTTCCTGTTAAAAGGGGGTCATTCCACAGTCACAGAATGCCAGAAGTCTTCCTCATACCTGGCAAAATCCGCTGACCACAATGAGGAGCATCATGTTAACCAGCAGCTGTGGAGTGAAGCAGTTTTAGGGGTGTCCAGGGTTTTACTCGCACAGAAACGTTTTGTAAAAGATCTACTCAAAACGATGGCCTTTTCAGCCRTTTGAAGAGCATTTTACAAATTTCTTGGGATTAACAACACAACATAAAATCAGTATTTTGACTCAGTGTGTTTTTGTTCACTGAAAAACAGATTTTAACCTGAATTTTATCTGATATAACCGATATTTCCATTACCCTTATTTTGCTTTCTGTTTCYACACACTGAGCACCATAGTTAAGTTACCTTCATAAACCTGAGAAACCAGTGATTATTCTACAGACTAAATCAGCTATACATACTATACTATATGAAATGTTATAAAATGTTTATTTTTGCCCCCCCATTTGTGGCGCCCCCTAGCTGGGCAGTGCCCTTAGCACTTGCCTATACTGCCTATGCCACGRGCCAACCCTGCCATTGTAAAGGAATATTGTAAAGGACATTTGCAAAATGTTGCATTCACATGCACATCGTTGCACCCTTTTCGGAAACCACTTCCTACCAAAAAGTGCACTGATAAGAAATAAAGCTGTTAGGTTGTTTATAGTGTTTTGCCGTATTAGTAACCTCAACCTGGAGTCAGAAGGCCAACAGGTAAGGTGGTGAACTCTGTGTACACTCATTTCCTGCCAGCACAGATGAACATTAATCACATTAAAGAGTCTGAGCACAAGGAGGAGGTTTGAAAGCTCTCTTGCATGTGATAAAATAAATTAAGCTCTGATGCAGGTGTAAGCTTTCTGTTAACTTTATGAACACACAACAAAACACAGCGTGTGTGTGTGTGTGTGGGGAGGGGGTGGTGAACAAAAGGAGAGAGAGAATCTGACACAGCAATCCTCAGCACCCCCTCACTTTAACTATAAATAGCACCAGTTTCTCTCCTGCAGGAGCCTCTTCAGAAGGCTGCATGAAATGTCTGCATTACACAGAAACCATGGCAGCAGTAGTAGCCCAGAAAAGAAAATGCGCACAGAAAGAAAACRTTTATCTGACATCTCCTGACTTATGCAACGACGCCCATCCTCTCAGCATCATCTGACAGCTGTACATCCATCTGAGTCAGGCTGAGAAAAAAATAAAAAATAAATCACCACGAACAAGTGCCGCAATCAAACTCACTTTTTCCGCCCTTTCAATCCTGCAGCGCTCAGTTCTTTCGGCACCATCCGGCCTGTTCGTAAACACATTCACACTGCGGTACTGAGTCTCCAATGTGACAGCACTCACCACACACACCTGCAGCCTCCCGTCCTCCATCACAAGCTGCAGCCCTGCTGAAGAAAACATGAAGCACTTACCTTTCAGAGCTCATCACGGATGTTTTTTTATTTTTTATTTTTATTGCCTGACCTCGCAGAGCGAAAAACAAAACAAAAGAAACACCAGGGAATGTGCAGGGTGGCTGCAGGGGAGGCTTGTTTTCCTGCTGCTCAGCGTCACTGACTGAAAGTCCGCTTTCTCTGCCTGTTTCTAAGTGCTGCCACCAAATGCTTCGAATCTACAACAAGCTTCATCTGTAAGTTTTTTTTTTTTTTTTTTTTTTGCCCCACTAGTGCGCAGATTCCTCCAGTCTGCGCTCTTTCCCCCTCCCACCTTACCTGTGAGAGCCACCTGTTCCTGCAGGGGGACAGCAGGCACCTCAGGTCAGGTAAAAACAGAGAAACAAGCTYTATTTAGTTATTTCAGCTTCAACCAGAAAGAACAAATTTTGGGTTTTTTAAAAGTATTTTAATATTTAACAGTATCACTATTATTGATTGCATTTTCTGAGTGCTGATGCATAGGCCCCCAGCAGAAATTGACCGAGGAAGCTAAAACTGAGTTGGGTGATTTACTAAAACAGAAAAATGTTTTATTCTGAAAAGAAATAGTAGGTCGAATGAGATAGTATAATATCTCATGAGATATTATACTATCTCATAATTATGAGATAGTATCTCATAATTATGAGATACTATAATATCTCATAATTATGAGATATTATACTATCGCATAATTATGAGATACTATAATATCTCATAATAATGAGATAGCTATCTCATAATTATGAGATAGTATAATATCTCATGAGATATTATACTATCTCATAATTATG